CAATAATGTCGGGCCGTTTGGAGCCGCTGTCGTCGGGCAGTGCGACGTGGGACGAGTCCGCGTCGCTTGTTAATCGCGAAGTGCCTCCACCCGTGTCCTACAGCGGCAATCAGCAGCAGCAGCAGCATTCCCACACGAGTCGGCTGTTGCCCGGTACTGGTGGCTCTGCCAAAAAGCAGAATAGCAGGATGCTGACCAAAGGGGAGTCCAGAGGTGAGACACACGTGATGCAACGATAGAGCGAACACGTTGTTGTACTCCTTTGAGCGTCGGCAAATTCGTGATGTCAAAGTCCAGTATACAGATGTAGAACAGTGAGACCCCGAGATGTGGACGTAATTGGTGTATCAAGAGTGTCCCTAAGTCGAAATGTCTCCAAAGAAAATTCTCTCGAAGTTCTGAGGGTTTTTTCACATGTTTTCAAAATGTTTTCAAAATACAATTTTTGAATGATCAGCTTTTATGTCATAAATAAAAATTCAAACTTTTTTGAGTTGACAATGAGAAGATGTTGATTTTTCATTTTAATCCCAAAATTCTTGAAACTCTCCCCAAAAATGAGAAGAAGGGTATGTTATGCACAAAAAAATTTCCATTTCTGTATTCTCAGAACGGATTTTCAGCATCCTGTGGAATGAAATGGAGACTCTTGCTGTAACAGAAAAACTTTTTACTTTTCGTAATGATGTTTCTTGGAAAGAGTCTCGCAAATTTGAATTAAATATAGCCAACTCTTCGGGCATAACACCGACGATTTAGATTTTTTTCCATTCTCAGCCATTTCAAAATTCCCAAAATTCGTTTCATACTCAATTGTCAGGATTTGTTTTTTATTTAAAAAAAAACTGGCGTTTTGAGACCGAAAAAGATTTCGATCAAGGACTCCACTTTTACAGATAAACATATAGTATGTCGATTCGACCAAAAATATAAAGATAAAAATGAAAGACATTTGTATTATTAATTCCCAGATTTTCTTTTAGATGATTTCATTAAATTATAAACCTTCAAAGTACCTGACAAATTATTTTTTCAAAAGATGTCTTCAATAATATGCCTCGAAAACATCATCCCGTTTCTTGAGATTTCTGAAAACTGCTAAACAATTCTGCAAGCATTTCGTGAAAGCAATTTTTTTTTATAGAAGTACTGAAAATACATCTTCAGATGAATGCTACCCCTGGGTGGGTTTATTTTCCTCGTGTTTTTCACAATTTGTTTAGAGAGCGAGCCGGTTGGCGATGATGCCGACTATGTCGACAGCGACGTTTCCGTTCTGTCGCAATTCCACGAGGATGCCATTTCTCAGGTTGGTTATTGCTCACATTTCAGTGGAATAATTAATGAAAATTTCATTGACCAAATATACAGCAGATGGTTTCTACGAAAAAAAAATTCAATCGGGGCACTCGTTGGAAATCAGTTCCAAATTCAAAGGAATGAAAATTTCCCTGCTCAATTTATTTCCCTCAACCCAGAATTTCGTTTCGGCAATTTTCTTGAGAGGGAGTTAATTTTTTGATCGACACCAGCCTTCATCTCCTTTATATGACAAAAGTAATCTTACTTTAATTAATTCATCAGTGTTTGAAATTTTCGAAAACCAACCATCCGCAGCTGATGAGAATGAAATTCCTTTACCAGCAGTCACCTGCAGTTATTTGCCCTTATCCACGACCAGCATCAGGCGTTGAAAATCTTAAAATGCATTCCAAAAAGGGCTACAGTGTTTTCAGGTACTGCACATTACCGTCAACGATTTATTTTTGGCCTTTTTTGTGAAGCTGAATCGCATTTCGAGCCCCTTATGAATTTTCTTTCCGAATCGAAAAAAGGTTTGAAAAATATTTCAACGATAATTTCAAGTGGTAATTTTTTTTCTTTTTACATATTTATGAGAAAATTCTTTTCTCATTTTCCTGAAAGGCTGGATTTGGCTGGTTTCAATGGACCCTGTACGTCATCATCGGACTCGGACTGGCAGCAGACACAATCGAATTATTCGTTGTCGCTTATGTGCTGCCTTCCGCCGAAGTCGAGTTGTGCATGAACAATGTGAAGAAAGGCTGGCTTGGTGAGATAATTCTTTGCAGAGAAAAAATATGTCCTCAAATACTGGTATAGGCTTTCTCATACAGTTATTCTTCATGTAGAGGAAAGAAGAGCAGGAGATATAGCCAGCAAAGCGTTATAGAAGTTCATTTAAGATAGAGAGTCTCCTCAGCATCACAAGTACTGTAAACGATACAGTATCTTATACAGTGTATATCTCAGATGAGCCAAGAGAAGATGTGTGTGCTTTCATGAAAATCATTCATTTTTTTCAAATTCTCGAAATCATATAACCTTCTTTACATTACGGGATTTCGTTTCAACTTCCCCATCCAATCATTCGATGACCTAATTCAGAAAAGCTAAAGATTAAATTGCATCAGTTTTTCTGTTTGCGCTAAAAATTATGCTGGAGGCTACTTTATTAAAGAGCCGCATTTCTTTCTAAATTACAGCATCGCGAATCATCTGTAAGATATCTTCAATGTTGTTTTCTTTAAGATTGATCAGCAAAATCTATTCGCTTTTCCCCTCTCATTATTGATTAAGTTTGGTGCACCAATGACGAATAAAAAAAAATCCACGGCAACCCTGTTCAGACTATATAGATATGATTCAATCCTATAAGTAACTTTGAAAAATTAGATTAATCTTTAAATTAATTCACTATTTGTATCATGTTAATGACCTGTACCCAGAAAAAGTTCGCCTTTGTGGGATGATGAACTTTACATGCAGGAAAACCGATTCATGTTCACGATTTGCCATCTCTGAATTTGCATGCTGACAAATTTTAATTTGTCCAATTGATTATCATGTAATCTTCTAACTTGAATTGGCATTTTATTTTTGCTGGTGTGCAATAGAAATTTCTTTTTAAATGTTCGTTGTCCTTCTTCAACGCCTTCATCGCAAGAGATTCAAACACAATTCTTCAGGTCCGTTTCGGATCGATCTCTTCCTTTGAAACTACTATAATACCTTTCCCTGCAAAAAGTCATGGTTTTTCTTTCTTGAAAACGCTGTGCATCGTTTGTTCATGGGTGCAATAAATAAAATTGTTAATAATGAGACCAGCAAAAGCCATCAGTAGCAGTCGTGTTAAAGAGTCGAGAGACGCATCCTCGAATTGCGTGTGCTGTCACCCGCTCTCCTCAATTGACTTTTCCTTTTGTTTCATTATATATATATATATATATATATATATATATATATTCTTTTTTTGTGACAGGTGCCATAACCTTCTTCGGGATGATGATCGGTGGGTTCGTGTGGGGCAGTTTGGCAGACAGGATGGGTCGCAGAAAGGCCCTCCTGTCCGCCTTGACGGTGAATGCGGTTTTCGGTGCCATCGCTGCCTTCATGCCAACTTATGGCACTTTCATGACAGCCAGGCTCTGTTCGGGCATTGGGTGTGTATCCATGCATATACAGTACTGTATACGGAATCTTGAAAAATAAATGCGAATAAGTCTCGTAGACGTACACGTTTGTAAGCAATACTTGTTCGTGATAACTCGCTTGAAATCATTCGAAAATAAATGCATGCAAGTTTTCTGACGGAAAAGTCGGGTGAGCAGGTTCATATATACAGTAGTTGAGAGTCGTCTGGACGAATTGCAGCAGTGTTCTTTTTTTGTGCGAAAAATGTCTGAAATATAAGAAGCAACTCATTTTTTATTTAACGACAATAATAGTTGGGAGTCGTCAGTTGGACGAATTGCAGCAGTGTGCTTTTTGTATGCAGAAAATGTCTGCAAGGATAAGTAACTTATTTTTAATTAACTACATTGCAAAGCGTGTCTTCTTCCTGAGTCTTGCTCCTGGTTCTGTCTACCATGATGATTTACTATAGGACCTTATTTATTTCTTCGTTAATTATACATATATTCGGAGACAGAACTTCTCATCAAGAGCTGGACTGTGCAAAATCTTCCGTTTCATTCAGCGTTTTCCATGCCGTTTATATTCTTTCGAATAAATTTTGGAGAGGAAGAATTTGACGATATAACATTGAATATTCGTTTATTTTGTTCATGTATCGTAACTGAATAATGATTGTAAATAATTATACATTCGCGTTGAACACAAAAAAATTCATTTTAAAAGTGCCGTTCCCTTCAAATCAGTGAATAACCTTATGTTTGACCTTGATGTTTGACCAATGTGTGGACTGTGAGGGTGAATTTCCCAATGGGATGAAATGGTGTTTGAATATTAATTCGGTTTTCCCCGCTGTGGAAACCGGCTTTTGGTATTTGTAAAGTTTGAAAGGAAGCTTCGATAAATTTTCGAATTTTTATTATTACATTATTTTTATTATTTATGTATACGGTATGCGGATGTTGGAATTTCAAAGTAAGGTCGTCGATAAGTTGGAGTATCCAAAAAGTAGGGGGCTCGGAGTAGTCTCGTTAGCAAACTCAGAAATGCATTGCGTAAAATTGGGATAAATTCCTTCAAGAACTACTATATGACTTCTGTGACATCAAAGTATGTAAAATTTTGCGGAAACTCTTTTTAAATCAATGGGAAATTCATTTTTTTGCATGTTTGGGTGTTGAAATTGTCAGGAAAAAACTCTAAATTTGAAACCTAAAAGAAGAAATTTGCCTGTTTAAATGACGCCAGTCTAAATCAGCACTGATCTTTTGAAGCATTCTTCAAGAGCCTGAAAACCGAACCCAGGTTTGGTTCTCAGGCTCATCCAAGGACAATATTCTTGCTTTCAATGAAAGTGGCCAAACTTGGCCTTGAAATCTTAATCCAGAAAGTTATCTTTGTAAATCGGAAACCCCAACATTTACACTCTGCAATTTGCTGCTGAACCAAATGGATCGCTGGGAGAACCAACTTGTGTTAAAAATCCAACTCCAAAATTGGCATACTTCTCTGTCTTCTTGCGAAAAGTGTTGTGATTATTAGCTATCATTTCAGTCTCTGAATTCTGTGTGAATATATAATTTTACACTAGGACAAAAAAGTACCGGCTCCAGCCCGGCTGTTTGATCTGGTTTCATTTTCTCTAAAAGATCCTCAATCCTGAAATTTACTTGAAGCCTTCTGGCAGTCTGAAGTAAATTCAAAGCCATCAGCTGAGCCATCTTGACCCTTTAGCAAAACTTTGAAAGCTCAATTTGTCCAAATTCTAACGAATCTTTCCCACCTTTTGTGAAGAGAAGCTTTTTTCCTCACCGAAATCTCTGAATTTTCTGAGAAGTAAACAACAAACTGAGGATATAAATACGGATATTTTGTTGACCAACTTTGAAGGTATTCAACAAAAGTATGCAAATACCGCTCAAACACTAGTTGAACTTTTCAGCGGAATCAGTACGTTTGAAAATCTCAGAAAAAATGCTCATACATTTTGAACTCATTCTTTAAATATCCGGACGTTGGATTTCCCAGATAGTGGGTCCCACTGCAATTTTCTTGACAGCATTGTTTCGTTGCTGGGTAACTTGAAAAGTTTTCAATGAAAGTCTGCGAATTCGCTCATGCTCGAGTTTTTCTTTTCGACATCATAAAAAGTTGTTCGAAATCCAAAAAAGTTCCATCCGTTTCGATTTTTTCCATGTCCGGACACTGGCTTTCCCAGCATTCCAAAATACTGTATTTATTAGTATGCCCCAGTGGAATTTCATGGCAAAAGTTGAAAAGTGTCGAATATAAGTTTTGGGATTGCTCTCATATCCAGCATTGCTCATTTATCTTGACGTGCGACAGAATCGGTGGTTCCTTGCCCGTGGTCTTTGCCTACTTCTCCGAGTTCATGAGCAGACGGAGTCGAGGCAAGCACTTGTCCTGGCTTCTAATGGCCTGGGCTATTGGTGGTGTATTCGTGGCACTGATGGCGTGGACCATTATCCCAAGGACGGGTGAGTTCCTTCTTCTACTTCTTCTTCCAAGGGTTCATTATGCCTTTTTTCCTCCTTTTTTTATCCTGATGTCTCTGATAATTTATATGCACCAAGTAATCTTGAGCAGAATAGGGAGGTTGGTTCATAGGTTTTGAGACTTTTTGAAATAGATCCTATATGGAGTTTCAGCAATTCCAAAAAAAAAAAAAACAATTTACTTGCATAACCCCAACACTTGGCAACACTTTATTGATGCTCAACAAACCCCCAATTCCAATGTGAACTTTTTAAGTGCGATGAATCTTATGTTGAAACAGCAGTGTCAAAAATTGACTCCTGATGTTAGTTGATTAGATATCATTATTTAACTTCTTTCTGTTCCCAGTGAAGATTGACCTGATGAAAGGGTTTAATTTTGAGGACAGGAACAGTCTCATTTCTGCTGTCAGAGAGAAGCTTAATCAACGAAACAGAACTCAATTTTTGGCAATGCTTTGATCCTTGGATTTATACCATGAAAACAATTATTGAAATTGGTGATAAGTATGTTGAACAACAGTGTGAGGAAACGGTCTTTTACATAAAGGTGAGCTAAACAAATTTCAGAGAGGCTTGAATTTAAAGAAAACGAAATTGAATGAAAATGCGCAATTACCTGGGATTTGGCCGGGACTTGATAAGTCCTAGTATATAAAGTTGCCGTATTTCTTTGTAGGAACAGAAATAGAGAGATTGGGCGTTTTGCAAAGAAGTCAGACTGCTGAGAAATAAACTTTGAATTCACACCACAAAAAATGATTTGCTTGGCTTATCTCCAGAGATCTGCTCAGCACAAAACCACAACTGCAAGTGCCAAAAATAGGCAAAAGAAGGAAATCAGGAAATCTTTGATGCATTAAGCTTATGAAGGATAATTTCGAAAAAGAAGAGTTTTCTTTGCTGATTTTTTCTTTGTTTCGTGTTAGAAAGAAAAGTTGAGCTGATTTGGAAAATGCCATTCTGGCACCACTCTACCATTTTTTTCTGACCAACCACACTCTAGTGTTGCCAAATGATGGCACTATCCAAGTGAAAAGGGTTTTTTTCAAATTGTTGAAACTCTGTTGGATCTACAATATTTCAAGAATTCCCAATACATATGAACCAAGTTTGTGAAGCCAGGCCTTGTTAAATACGCTTCTTAAAGCGAGTTTCGTTGAAGAACCCACTCAGAAAAAGGAAGTTATTGCAACTTTTTTGTATGTGCTCTCAAAATAAGCAAATGGGAAAGTTCTTGAGCGGTTGTTTGATGCGTTGAGAGAAACCTTTTCAGAAATCACCGCAGAGGAGCTTTAATCCAAACGTGAGCAGACCTTTCCACGCCCCTCAGCTTTATTGAGGGAAAAACTTTTAGAAGGAAGACAAATTCCTCGCAATATAAATGCGATCTGCACATAGAACATTCAAACACTTTTTTAAAGTTGAAGAAATTAAGAAACCGAACATTTTCCAAAGAGTTTATTGTTTTAAAATGCGGCATTTTCCCGAACATGCAATTTCAAACATGAACAGATGAATGAAGTGAACATATTTCGCTATATTTAAACATTCCCAATGTTTTCGAATGATTCTCAGTTGAAGACAATGCTTTTTTTTAAGGACCGCACTTTCTTTCGAAAGTATTCGATCTGCACGAAATGTATTGATAAATAATGTTTGAACTTCATCAGCAAAAACATTCGAGCTAAAGAATAGTTTTTGTACCATGAAAATGTTTCAAAAATTTAGGCTGTATCATGAAAAGTAGGGTGTCAATTGTGATGTTAGAACAAGCGTTTAACGAATAGAGATACGCACGGAATTGAAATGCTTTTCATTTATGGGTCTGCATAAAATATTTGAAGCAATTTTTTACGACAGCACATGAGAACGATTACATTTTAAATAATTTTAATACTGTATAGGCTGTTCAAAAAATAAAAAAGCACATGGGAATCATTCAATTTTAAATAATTTCAATACTGTATAGGCTGGTCAAAAAAATTACAAATTCCAACCATAATTCTCAACACACAGAAAATCTGCGCCCGGCGGTTCGTAATACTAAAATGTGACCAATGAAGTTTTAGTTTTTCCTGTTTTTCCTCTCTCATCAGTACACTTCTCAAAAATGGGATGAACCCGATATGAATCATTCTGGGTCTGCTTTTGCATACCAGGGATTTTTCTCCGTAATCTTGGAGAAAGGCTCAATCACGAGAATAATAAAAAAATGTGCATTTTCATTCAGAAAAAGATGCCGGTTCCACGAAAGCACATCGAACTTCCCTTCGATATTATTCCCCAATTTCTGCTCTCATGACCTCATCTGCAAAACTCTTCTTCCAGTACTCACGTCTACTTTTCTTGCTTTAACAGAAGTCAGAGAATATTATATGTGCACCTATAGTCGAGAGACTACTTACCGAGTTCACTACCTCTGGATAGTATTCCTTAACAAGAGACAGAGTAGACGCTTTTCTTTTCTTTTTTCTGCCTTTTCTCACCGCTCTTTCTCTACGTCTGTGTCTGTCTGCCTGTGACAGACAGAGAGATAATTAGAACGTCCCTAGAGCCACTAGCTCTTACTTTTTCTCGTGAAGTCAGCGACCTCTCTTAAGGAAGACGAGACAAGGTAGGGCAGGAAGGACCGAAACAAGCCCGAAGAGTTCATGCCGGAATCTCCGAGATATTTGCTGGAAGCTGGTCGTGAGGTCGAAGCCATGCTGGTCTATCAGGTGCGATTATTCCTGCCATCTGGTGTTTCATTTGGGAAACAGAGAAGATCCAAAATAGAATATGCGGGTTCCGACGATGATATTATGGATGATGTTTTCGATAACAATTTTATGACGAGAAGAATTGAGTCAAAATGAGACGTTTTCAAGTACTGTACAGTGATATGACAATTGTTCTCACTGTAGCTGCAGCTGAATTCGAATGTTATTTGAATTTTGCATATGACTTTCGAACGACGAGTGACGAGCTTTCGTTCATTTGGTCTATTTTATTCATTTCACATGGATTGATTCGTTGCCTATATGCCGGCAGCATTCATCTAGAATAAATCAGTATAGTTCTTGCAAAAAGCGAAATTTTTCCAAAATCCAAGCCAGCATGGCAAAGTGAGGATAATTTGAGTCATCTGCAGAAATATAATTGTCAAAATAGCTTTGAATAAAACATGAGACTCCAGTCTGGATTCTACTGAATTTTCCACTCACAATTTATATTCTTATTTCCTCGTATCAAATCATCGAATATCTAATTCGAATGAGGAACCATAGAAGAGGTATTTGGAAATGACCTTCGAATTTGAAGTTTCGAATCAATGCAAAGAATAATATGATAAATTTAGAGGGAAGTTCCTCTGGAAAAAAAAATACTTCGTCGATTGATGATGGGATCTGAAATACAGTAATGTACTATGCAGAAGAATGCGGAATGAAAAAGGATGGGCAAACCCTTCTCTAACCCTCGAATTCGTTCGGGATTTATATATGTTCTTGGCGTTTGAAGATGGGTCTGGGATTTCGAATGCCACCCTTGACCTGACCCATGATATCTACAGCTTGTCTAACTTGTAAATGGAAGGAAAAGGAATCTGGTTCCCATGCAATTTACTCAAGTGCACGCATGAATGGACCCGGTATATCCGTATATGAGAACTCGAAGATTTTTTTATTTCTCCATTTTTGGATGCTTTTCCGAATTGCTATCCACGAATTTCACGGGGAGGGGACGAATTTCAAGATAAATTCGTCTTGTCAATGATGAATGATGTTGCACAGACAGCTTTCCACATGAAATTAGGCTTTTGAATTTTCAGCCCAACTGAGCTTGGCTTCATATTCGTACATTTTTTATATGAAGATCTTCCAGTTTAATTCGAGTATGGTTTGCATTTTATATATGGGGAATTTACGTGCATGAGATAAGCTCCATAATCGTTTTGGCTTCGAAGAGTTATTTTCCATTGCAGGAATAAATACAGTACTGCATGACTTTTTCCTTCAGCGAGTGATTTCATTTTTGTTTGAGGTCATGAAAAACCAATTCAGGTTCTTTAGTTTTACGTAGCTGTCAGATGGACATATTTTTTATTTAAGTAGAACCTGTATACTTCACTGTACTTGTCTTCAGAATGCGCGCTGCCTTTCAAAGGAAAGTAGTAAAATTGAATTTGAGCTGGAATGGACTGAAGGAAGTAAAATTCGATAATGAATACATAAATCGTAAATTTACAAACCGTTTTACTAGCAATGAAAATCGCCATTGTCGTGATTGAAGAATATTGTCGCCATAAATTATAATCAAATTTCGCCTAAAAATGGAAAACAAATTTTCTGAAGCCAATTACAATTGATTCTTTTCTACCAGCAGAAGCATTAATGGTCAACGCAAGGATGTTAATGCGGACAGAAAGTATATTAAATCGATGGGTCATAATTAAAAAAAATTATCTACGGAACCCATGAAGTCTTGAAGACCAATTTCTTTTTCTGATCCAGTGTCAACTTCTTCATTTGAGTAATTTTTCAAGTTTTTGTTGGTGGGAGTTGCAGTTCTCTTTGCCATTAATTCGTTGGAGCATAAGCTCTTCCAAATAAGGCAGATTTGGGGTGGTTCATAAATTTTGACAATGTTTTAAATAGATCGACAAGAGTTTTGACGATTCAAAATTTTTGCTTTTACTCGCATAGCCCCATCATTTGGTAAACATTCAGTGCTGTTCTAAGCCGTCTCTGCAAATTGTAAAGCATATTTTCATGCATTACGTTCAATGATCATAAAAAACTAACCACATTACTTGACAACGGCTGCATTAGTTGATCGAGCTGCTCTTATACAATTCAAGTGAGGCTGTCACTGTCCTCAAAATAATCCCTTTCAGATTACAGTGGTGCCTTGCGTAACAAACACCAATTGGTTCCTGCAACTGCATTTGTTAGGCAAAACATGTGTAAGGTGTGTCAAATTTTCTCTTAAGGATCAATGTAAAACCAATTGATGGGTTCCTAAACAACAACAAAAAATCCGGCAAAAAAACATGAAAATTTGCCCAATTACAAAAACACAAGGAACAACTTCCTGGAAATGCTGCCATCGTTCATTCTAATGTTCTTCCTCGAGAAATTTCCTTGCTCTCTTTCCCAAATGAGCCAAACAAATGTACCACTTTAATTTCATGCATAACTGACATGTAGGAATTTAGGATGTTGCTTCTGCATGAGTTACAAAAGTAATGGAGTAACATCTTGAAAACTACACCTTTCTCATACCTTTCATCACAATTTATTGACAAAGGAAAGACCAAGAGAATATAATGTTGCATTTTGGAATAAAGTGGATGATTAATTTGGCATATAAAAGGTCTCCTTCAAGTTTAGCATCCTGTCAATAACTCAAGCAGTTTTAGACCAAGTATATCCAAATTGCAATTTCCTGCAATTCTTCTTTCCTTCCCTAAAAAAATACTGTACTTGAGAAACAGTCATTTTTGTTGAAGGAAAGAAAAAACTGGATTTTACAAATTGTTAGTTAAAAAATATAATTTTAAGGGCATGCCATCAAACATTTCCTAGGCAGGTCAGTGTTTGCTAGGCACGTCATTTTTTTCTCTTGGTGTTTGTGAGGTGGGTTTTTGTTAGGCAATGCATTTTTCAAGTTAGGCACTCCTGTTGTCAGGAAAAGAAAGGGGAGGGGGCACAGTCAAACTTCTGAGAAGTCCTTGCTACCCCATCCCCAGGAAAAAACAATCCTTTGAAAGGAATCGACTCTATTACCGTATTTTGCACGAAGCAACTCGGAGCCTTGGCTTTGACTCAGCAAGCAAAACGCTGAACATGCTAAAATATTACTTCCTTCTTGGGAAAAGCCATTTTCTTCTTGGGAAAAGTCATTCCTCCTCAGGAAAATGGCAAATTGCATATCAAGTTTTGTTCCTCCCAAAGGAACTAAAACAGATGAGTCAGGATACTCAGGAATCATCATTTTCTCCAAATGTGCCAGAACAAACGGCCAGCATCTCATTCTTTCAAAGCCAAAGCAAATGGCCAAATTTCGCATACGCACCAAAATGAAAAGAAGGACCAAGTTGGCCAATGTAAAGACTAGCCTGACCTCGTCAAACGAGCTTGGTGCCACTGATTTGAAACAACCTATTGATTGGGTATATTCTTTCAACCAAGCCCTGGACAAATTCCGTTTAGACTTCTATAGGGAATCCTTTAATTTCTTCCAGTATTCTGAGACACTGTGTCTCAGAACACTAAAAATGTGTTGACCATCATCACATGCAACAACAGTCAACTGGCCATTGTTGCATCTTGCAATGGTCAGAAAAAATATCTCTGCTCTGAGACACCTTTGTGCAATGGTGAAACATTCAAATGATTGTCATTGCATGTGAAGAATGGGACCGTGCAAAAACCATTTCATGTTGAATGACATCAAATGTCAACGATGGTCAAACTGTCTGAAACCGTCAATGATGGTCAAAAATCATTGCGAATTTTCCAAATGTGACAATGGTCAAATGACCATTGTTGCATGTGACAATGGTCAGAAAAATGAATCTGTTCTGAGACAGCATTGTGCAATGTTGTCTCAGGACAGAGACTTAATTCACACGCAACAAAATTCAAATGACTGTTACCCGCAGCACAGATAAGGACAGCACGTGAAGATTCATTATTCGTGACTAAAAATTTCTTCATTTAAAAACTAATTATTTTAAATCCGTATATTGAGTGCATTGTTTGAGGGATTGTTTACGAGCCTGATATTTCTTCTTTTTTACGTTGTTTGATATGTTTATTTGCCAGTCCCCATCAACAACATTTTTTTTGCAGAAATTTTCAAAATTCAAAGATGGATTCGTTTATTTTATTTTTTGTTTTTTTGTCCAAATGTTAAAAATCCCTGTAGAAAACAGGACATGAGAATAAGAGGCTCTGATGATTATTCATCCGCATTTACAGGTTCTATGGATTATCCCTTTGGTTTCCCGAATACCTAAAGGCGTTGAAGATGGACGAGTACGACTCGAATGTGAAGTTGGTCGTGGGCGAAACGTACGTGAAACAGGTATTCAATGGGACCCTGGACAACGTCAAATTTGTCAATTCCACATTCACTGATGTCACATTCCACGGAATCGTTTTGAATCACGTCGAGTTCACGGGGTGTTTACTGAATCGCTGCGAGTTCAGCGACGTGGTTTCCTCGCGAACATTCTTCAAAAATTCCACGCTGATCCAGAACCACTTTGCCGACACCGACATGTATCCCTACAGGTGGGTTGAAATCATTTACAGTAGAATCTCGTTACTACGAATACATTTACCACAAAATGTTCAGAAAAGTAAACTTTATTCAAAAAGTTCCTGCAGAAATCCTCTAGGGCATTGTTCTCCAACCCGTGGTCCGCAGACCGGCGCCAGTCTGCAGAAGTTTTTTGCCAGTCGGCAGGAAATTTTCACCGGAATGAATTTTTCAAAAGTTGGGATGGAGTCAGTTCTCTTTACCTAAAATTTTGGAGGGACAATGGCAGTTGAATTATTTGATGGAAACAAAAGTGGGCTTTTTTCCTAATAATGCTTCAGACAATTTTCACACGCTGTAATAAATTATTTTAAATTTGCATCCTAAAAAACCTTTCTCCAAGCCCACCTTTATAATTGTTTGATGACATTCTGAACTGAATTTTTCTTGTAACTATACCTAACTAATAACATTCAAGCAAATCTTTGGCAAGTCTGCAAAAATTTTTGAACTCTGTTAGGCTGCAGACATTTTTTTGGGAATTTGCTGGTCTGCAGGCCCCAGAAAGGTTGGGGAACACTGCTCTAGGGTACATGTTATAAAAATCTTGTTATAACCAGATCACCAATTCCTATATAACAAACTCTCTTTAGGAACATGTTGTGATTTATTAATGGAAAATCCCCAATGAAAGCAGGCACAGTCTCAAACTTCCAATTCAAAATATGAATTGGATGGAGTCTTCTCTGATCGGCTAAAACGGAGTTCCATAAGTAAGATAATTTCAGAGACTAATCACAAAGATGTCTTGTAATTGTCATATAATTTCATATAATGTCTTGGCACAATTATTCTTCTCTTAAGTTTGAGTACTCGAAATACTTATCGGTCAGGTCTGGCGCACGACGGAGCTGAACAACATGATCAAGCCGAACAACTAAGTAAACCTATGATAGATCAAGAAAGTTACTCGTAACCTAAGTCAGTTACAAGTCTAACCCCATGCAAAACTTGATGAAACTCAGCATGTAAGCAAACGAGGCACTATAGAGGTCTTGATTTTTTTTTTTGATGCGTCACAAGAAATAATTAAAAAAAATCGTATTGATGCAATCAAAGTATTACGCGATATTTTTCTCAGGTTCAGCGACGACACTGTGTTGAAAAACAATTCATTCTTGGCCATGATGGGCGGTTGCACCCTGGACTTTGATTTAAACTTCCACTTGAACGAAGTTTTCATGGAGAACTTGATTGGACAACTAGCTCTGATTCCAGGCACGGTACTTTCTGTTTTCCTCCTGGACAAACTTGGACGTGTCAAGATGATATGTGAGTCTCGGATTTTTCGAATGTTTGAAATTATGAACTGCTGAGCAGACGAGTGTTGAATGAAAATTCGCCAATTTTCTTTTTTATTGCAGGTATGTCGATGTTTTTGTCAGCAGCGGCAGCGTTTTTCATCTGGTTCCTGTACACCAGAGTCGCAGTGATTGCTTTCGAGGCGATCTTCAATTTTATATTTATTGTGGGCTGGAATTCCTTGGACGTGTCCACGACCGAAATTTACCCGTGTCATTTAAGGTGAATCGTCGCATCGAAATGATTGTATAAATCTGCTGGACAAAAATCCAGTCAGTTCGTTATACAGTACTTTTCTATACATGTCGAATTGAATATTGCTCGAGCAAGAATTTCCTTTATTCTGGCCTCATCGTCGAAATGGAATTTGGCAGAATCTTAATCCACGTATTAAAATATCGAAATTGACAATTGCCTATTGTATCGATAAGGTTTTTTTTCGCGGGAAATTACGCGTAAAAATTCTCGTGCCAAATAAATTTATAAATATGCTCACCGATTGCAGTTATGAAGATAATGTCACTTGAAGTTGGATGCCGGTTTTTATTGTTTGCTCAATTATGTCTTTATTATGCTCTTGCTCATAATGTTTTGCTCATTCAAAAAAAATTTTTTGTTTTGATACTTGTGCTATAAACGAATTATCAACTTTTTTCAAGAGATACATATTATGCTGGTCTCATACAGTGGCTGTCCCAGTTGGACGTGACCTCTCGTATTTTTGGAGTATGTCTGATTGGAAAAAGAATCATGATACAAGTACCTAATGTTCTGAGGTTTCGGGATTCTTTCGGAGTTTAAAAAGATTTCTTCACTTTTGTGCATGATAATGAGTGGAAAAAGTCTAGTTACAGCCACAGTTCTCCATTTACGTCAGGGAACTGAAATTTTTGGTAGATTAGCTAGACAATTGAATTTTGTGTTGCTTCAACCAGCATTATCTAAAGTTAAGAAAAGCTATAATGAGAAAAAGCAACAAATTTCAATTTTTGCCGGCCTGAAAAAATTTAAGCACCTTATTGTAATATGGGTGGAGATCTTTGGCTGTGAGATGACTGGAAAGTTTTCACTGATCATCATGTAGTAATAAAATGCAGAATTTTATTTTTCTCCACATATGAGACAACTATTGCTGATGACCTAATCTCATTTGTTTTTACTGTAGCACTAGCCGTAGAACAGATTAGTCTTTCATTTCGGAGATCGTGAGAACATTATAAGCAAGCGTGGATTTAATTTTGAAGTTGTGCGATTGAATTGCCGAACAGTATGCGCCAAAATCTCCATCGGATATTCTATTATTTTTGCAGGGCTACTGGTTACGGCTTCCTGAGTGCAGTCTGCCGAATTGCCGGAAATACTCGGGAGTTTGACTTTTGGCAACTACATTGGAGTGAGCAGAGCGATTCCGATGCTAACAACAGCTGCTGTGCTTCTCATTGGAGCCATAGCATCGATTCGAATCCCGGAGACAAAAGACATTCTGCTTTGAAAGGAAAGTTCGGGAAATTTTCGACAAAAAGAAGCAGAAAAGGGGTGCGGAAAAAAGCTGAGAAAGTTTTTTTTAATATTCGAATCCAGACCCATTGTGTTCACCCAATGTCATAAACGGAGAACGAAGTATTCGGGAGAGAAATCGAAGGGAAAAAATCGAAATATTCGCAAAATATTATATGCGCATTTTAAAGGCTTTTGCTGGACGGAAAAGAAAAAATGACGATCGTGAAGAATCATTCCCGCGGACGAACGAACTCGGATCAAGTGTATTGCTATTTGTGAGATTTTCAAGCAAGAATTGGTTGTTGGTGACCAGAAAATCTGGAAATTTTCTAATCAAAAGAAAAAGACGAGGGAAAACTCATTATTGGGATGAATCGATGTTTGAATGCCTTTTTTGTAGTCATGAACTGAAGAATGAATGATTTTACCCCGGAAATCTCCCCCGAAAAAAGAAGTACAGTATACCCAAAACATTTTTGCAGGTTTTTGTTTGTTATGTCATAGCTTATGTCACCGATTTTGTTGAGAGAAAGGATGAATTTTTGAATGCTTGCATTTGTGTTTGTATTTGGCATCACAGGATGCAAGTGTTAGCTTTAATATGCAATGCAATATGTGGCATTGCTTGCTGCTAAGTGTCGGTCTGAAGAAAAAAATGCGTCTTTTGGGAGCAAAAAGATTGAACATGACTTTTGATTTTCCTCCTTTAAAAAAAGCCCATATTTTAAATATATTTCAGAATGCATTGCGCAGATGGACCTCGGATATTCAAAGAACATGGATATGTCGGAATGAATAAGACTCGAATCACTTCTCTTATCCATTGCAGTACAGTACGTATTTGAATTATTGAGCTGCGCAGGTTGAATGTTCAAACACTTGATAATTTTAAAAAATATTTAATAAAAATACAGTGACAATATACGACTGATTGTTGCGATAAATTCACTGGAACTTCGTGGGATACCTCGTTTTTGCGAGAAAAAAAAAATTTAAAATCATGAAATTATCGGAGAAACTTTTCTGATTGATTTTGAACCTCGCAGAACAAAAAATCCGGCATTACTACAATACGAGGTGTTTGAATGAGGTGAGGAAAAGTGATAGGATAAAAAGTGACAAACATCTTCCAGAGCATCTTATTTCTTTTTTTTTTTTCAAATATAATCAGGGATGAACTTTCATAACTTCCGGCGATCCCCCCCCCCCCTCTCTCTCTCTTTCTCTTCAGATCCTAATTCACGAATTAGTTTGATCTTTCGACAATAATTCAATGAAAACATCAATCATTGCAAGTGTTTGCATAAGATAGAATACAGTCATTTTCGCGAAGAATTAAAATAATTGAAAAAAATTGGCAACTGAGACCATCAGAAGGATTACACTGTATATGAAACTGGGGACAAAAATAATCAAGAATTCCCTTGCTCATCCGTAAAATGATTTTGACAAGATCTTGACAATTAATTTAGTCCAAATTGTTTTCATCTGTGTGTGTGTTTTATTTTTCAAAATAGCCTTATTGCGCATTAAAATGAACTCACCTGCTGACTTGAAGACTGTTTTCGTCAGTGTCAGTCTCAACGCTAATCAAAGATCTAGAAAAGCACAAAAAGAATGTTGAAATTCTCCCCAATATCATTCCTGATGTTTCAACATTTACGAAATTTCTTTTTCGCGGACTTCGTGATTGAAAACAGGAAAGACATTGATTTTGAGTGACTGAATGAAGTTTATACCAACAATCACCAGAAATCCTCATGCTCAACTCTGTTTTTCTGACGTGAACTCTTAATACGTGGGTCTGAAGAAATTTGAATACCTTTTTCAACTGCTTTGTCTTTACAAATCTGCAATCCGTCCTCACCCGAAATCGCACTCATATATTCTCAAAAAGAAAACCTTCAGCAGTGATTTTGAATGCGAAAAACATGACGGAAATTGCTGACTTCCTCAATACAGCAAATAAGCGATCACCGATGAACAAACATTGTACTTTGTACTGTATAAGCAAAAATCAAAGCCATGAGAAAAGTCCTGGCTTTTGTGGAAGATACGACTTTGACGACCATTTCGACACTGATATCGTCGAATTCCTGAAAAAAGTCGACTCAGTGCTTGCCCCAGACAAGCTTCAACAGGTGTCTTAATTTTTAAACAAGTCCTGTACCAGAGCAGTTGAAAATATAATACGAAAACACGTTGAAAGGGATTAGATGTATTTCTGATGTTGATTCGACGTTCTTCTGATGTCTGATGTTACAATATATGTTGAATTATTTTATTCAATATACCAATTTCTGCCTGAATTGGTATATTCTTCTGTATGCATGTTTTTGACCTACTGAACAGAATTTCGATTTTTTTTAATGACAACTGTGTGCGTGCGTCTTATTCTAGTATAAATTTTTTCCTCAAATTTCTCCGTGTAAAACCTGGTGTGGATCATTCTCAATTGAGAGCGCGTGGTACTCAATCAAGTATAAGTAATCTAAAACGAAGGGTCAAAAAAGTTATTCTCCATATGAGTACGAAAGAATCATCATCTGCTGCATATTTCGAGCTTATTTTTGAAAGCACCAACGCCCTTTTTTTTTTTTGGTTGGTACTCGCATACTTCTTATGGCCGAGAAATGATGAGCATCATCATGAGACTCCAAAATATATTCAAGTAGTCTTCTGCTCAAGAAGTTCGGGTACATTCGCAAAGCACGGCGATTACCGATCAATAAATTGTCATTCCACGACCTTGAATAGAGAGGTAACTGCAGTTTTCTTCCATTCATTCGTTCTTCCATTCATTCGTTCGTTCATCCGAGGAAGCTAATCGGATTTAAAATTTGAAGAATGCGATATCCCCGAAATCTAAACTATTATTTCATCAGAGCAATCGTCGCTAATATTATAATACGTTCTGCTGAATTCAGGGACAGTTTTCTAACATGTTGAAGAAGTTACAGCTTCTTCAGTGTTATGGTCGTCATTCGGTCGCCCTTGGATCGCTGAAATGAAATAAACATGCCACACATTTAAAAAAATGGAAGATATCTGTGTTTTATGGGGAATGAATACTTACCAAATGACTGTCCATACGTTTGGTCTCGTGCTGTAGAATTTGTTTGGTTTGATCTTGGTTGAAGTTGACCACCGCTGAAATCATTCTTGCTAGCGTCTGCGGACAGTTTGAAAAATAAATTTCCCGTGAATCAATATTCATATCAGATATAGTCAGTTTTTCTTAATTCTTACAGAGCTGTTTTTCCCAGTCATGTATTGGAATAATATGTCTCGTAAATATTCCATTCTCACGACGTCTTCTTCGTCAACGTCTCTGCTCGGTGTCTTGGCTCTTTGCAGCTCAAGCAATTTCTTCATTTGCTTCATTTCGCTTCTAAAATCGAAATCGAACGACAGTCAGAAGGAAATTCAAAGTATACTTGAAATTTTCGGAGAACTGACTTGTGCTTTTTGCGAAGCAAGTGAATTTCCTTATGCTTTTCCATGAGCTGCTGCTTCAGGACGTCCAAACTCGTCGTTCCCGAATGAACCGCGGCAAGAGCTGCTTGACTGGCGAATTCCATTTCCTTTCATAATTTTTTTATCGTGATTATTTTATCGGGACAAGGAAAGATGTTTCAAATAATTTGAACCTTTTTGTGGCTGTTGTAATCTTCCGCCAGCTTGGCGATTTCGAGTTTATGCCTCGCTTCCATGTCGGCAAATTTTTCTTCCAACTCGTCTTGCACATCTTGAGCATTCAGACGTTCTCTTTCCACAGCTGCTTGAGTTTCCCTGGTGACATTCTTTAATACGAAATTATTACTCGAAAATTGATTTTGTATATAAAGGCTGATTTTTTATTTTTTTTTTCACTCACAGTAGAAACCAGTTCAGCTCGCCGTTTCAGAGCAGCAACTTTGTCCTTCAGTCTGTCGGGAACACCTTCGACTGCCAGCACCGCGGAGAATAAGATTTGATTTAAACTTTGCTTCACATGTGTATAATGGAAAAAGGGAACACACCTGTTCGCATGTCAGTGATAAAATCAATGATCAATTGATTGATCTGCGTAGAAACTTCGAACCCGAGAACCCCCGGAGAAATCGGTCGGCTTCCAAAAGCAGGAGATCTGCTCCTTGAAAGCAATTCTCTCTCCATTGGCCCATGCCTCAACATTGATTCCTATATCGTAAACGCACAAAGAAAGAAACCACATTCGGTTGCTTTCTTTGTTTTTTAAATTAATCAGTAAAACAATACAATATTATATTAAAGACCAAACACCGCAAAAGCCAGGATTCCTTGGAGTATGTCGCAGCAGGCGCGGGACGTTGAAGCTCAGCATGCGGGTAACGAGAGCACAAAGAAAACGCTTTTTGCAATTCCCTGATAACTTGCTATATACA